CCCCGCCCACTGACGACACCACCCACTGCTTCTCTTCAATCTACATACAAACATTTCGTCACAATCCACTCACGATACCACCCCACTGAGGGGTACGGAGTCCTAGGTTAAGGTTAACACATGTTAATTTTTTTCACACGTATTTAATTCCCCGATATATGCAGATTTCTTTACCTTAAGAACGGGTAAAAGTGCTCAGACATTCGAAAATAAAAAAAGCACATTGGTACATGGCGGGATTCGAACCCAGGACTAACAGATTACAAATCAATTACTTAACCCTTGAACAACTAATTCTCCTATTAACACTTATTTGACTTATTAAAATTGTCTTTTGAAATAAATGAACTTTAATAGATATAAGTGGTCACCTTATTGAGTATATCAGTGAAGTCCTTCACGATGGTGACAGGTCTGTTGGCCTTGTCGGTGTGCGCGGCGAGCGCGAGCCGCGCGCCCGCGAACCACACCTCCAGCTCCGAGAGCGCGCTGCGCACCGCACTCTCGTTTGACGCAGAACAACTTATTTTCTAACCAGAAACATTTCAAAATTATAACTTAATAATCTTACAAATCTATGCTAATATTGTAAAGAGGAAAGATTTTTATTTTTGTATGTAAAAACTACTGGGTCGATTTCAAAAGTTCTATCACCATTAAAGACCTACGATATCAGGAAGAATATAGGCTATGTATTTTACTATTTTTGAATTCCACGCGGACCTAGTCACGGGCGAAAGCTAGTTATTTATAATTTCGAAAACTATATTTTCCGAGATAATAAAATTATACCAGATAGACAGATGCAGAGAAGACATTCAGTTTAGTATTAATTATTCGAGCACGATATAAGGATATTAAATTACGAATAAAAAAATATGGAGTAAATGATCACCTGCAGAGCCTTTATTTGTTTTTTGATGTTATCAGCAACATTCAATAAATCCTTCAGTTTGAGTGTCTCGGGCGACTTGTACTGCATGTCTAGCAGACTGAACACTTCCCTCCAGTGATGCTCCGTGAAGTCAGACCCTCGTAAGTACTTTAGTGCTATCGTAAGATCCTAATAGTAACATATGAAACAACCAATTATAAAGGGGATGTTTTTATTACCTAATTGACGGGGGCTTTATTTTATCACTTCATTGTATATAAATTATTATGTTTTTTTTCCCAGGGTATCCTAAAGGTACGGTCATTTAAAGAAAGAAATACGATATACTTACGGTATATTTATCTAGTGTCTGTTTGAGGAACAGCGTAACGGAGGTGTATGGCTCGAAACGCGCGCACCACTTGATGCAGAACTCATCCAACAGATGCAACTTCTTTTGAAACACTAACCATTCTTGTTCGCCAATAGATTCATATTCTAAAAAAATAACAAAATAAGCTTCCTAGAAAAATTACGGTTCTAAGTAAAAAAATACGTCCTACCTTCGTCATAATCTTTGAAGATCTCCCACTGATCCACCGATTCTTTTATAAGTTTTTCAGCGTCTTTCCATGTATCAGAAATCGTTACATCCATATTGAACTTTTGGCATTCCTTCCTACAAATGTTAACTTTGATAAACTAAAACACAGACAACGAGTAATAAGACTAGTATACTACTTTTCAAACATCTTGATTGCTCAAGGGAAACTGCGCACTGCGTAATATTCTTTCTCTCTATGTTTTATTCACCCCATAAAAGGAGTGTTCCACAATGATGACTGAGATGTCCCAAACCGCCAAGATATGTAAATGATAACTTCTATACTACTCTACTCTTATTTCCAAAAATAACTTACAGCAACTCGTCTCTCTCAGACAAGTATTTTTCCCATTGTTGTTGTGCCTCGAACACGGAGTGGCATTGGGCGCGCATCTCAGCGTAGTCCGCGCCCTGGCCGCCCTGGGCGACCTGCCCGCCCTCCAGCCGTGCCCTGGCCCGCGCCCATCGCGACACACACGCCTCCACGCAACTGCTCAGGTTCTCCCATTCCCCTTTCAACCTTGACTTTACTATTTCTGCCTAAAATATAATAAGACGTGATAAATAAACATTCCACACAGGAATATCATATTTTTGCAATACTTTTGCATAAAAATATTTATCTTACTTAGATTATAAATGCGAAAGTTTTAATGGATGGATGGATGTTTGTTAGAGTTTGCTAATGAAAGGGCAAAATGTATTTCGATGAAATTTGACACAGATGTAGAGCATAGTCTGGAAAGGCACATGGAAACTTACTTGCTGATATTTTTAAATAGAGCGCTATGTATTATTGTGATTTAAAGTATATGTTACTATTCAATGACAATACACAAGCGTAAGTAAAAACGATACCTGATGTTCGAACATTTGCTGCTGAGCCAACATTTGCTCTCGAACTTTCTGCCACTCCTTCACCGAGTGGTCGACGAAATGGTCGC